TTTTATTTTGTTTTATTTTATTTTTAGCATTCTCTTCTTTTGAAGTGGATGGGGCCCGAACTTAAAAATACAGAGTTTTTGTGTTTAAAAATTACCTGGTGGGGGTCAGGGAGATAGCTCAGTAGAATAAGTGTTTGTGTGGCAAGTGCAGGGTCCTGAGTTCAATCCCTAGTACCGCAAAATAAATATCACCTGGTGAAAACCTGATTGAAAAAGCATTTCTTTAAAAAAAAAAAAAAAAATTAAGGGCAGTTATTAAATTTTGGATGATACAATAAAAGTGTTTTGTTGGATTTTTAGAAATATACCTACAGATTAATTCCTTGTTGATTAGTGTGAATAGTTTTAAATCGAAGAAGCCTGTCATGGTAGCCACTCCTATAATCCCAGCACTCTGATGTCTGAGACAGGAGGATCATGGGGATTTCAAGCTGGCCTCACCTACATAATACATTCAAGAACTGTATAAACTGCAAGAGGCTCTGTCTCAGACTGGGAAGATAGCTCAGTGGCTTAAGTGCCTGCCTGGCAAGCAAAAGATCCCCAGTTCAATCCCCTGTACAAGAAAAACAACAACAACAACAAAAGGCCTATCTCAAATACAAAAAAAAAAAAATTTAAATCACCTATGTTTTTCCTTTTGGTTCAAAGAAATTTTTCCAAAAAAAGTAATTTTTCTGGCAGATAACCCTAAAGGGGTTTTTTGCATACTTGTTTTGCCTATATAGCATATATTATATACTGCACATTGCAAATCTATGATTAGGTATCCTGAAAACACACTAGAGGATGCCAAGAAATGCGGAGCATTAGGAACTTTTGCGGTGCACAGTGCCTGCGATACCTGGTGGTTGTTGCAGTAGGTGGGGAACCAGCCTCGGGCTCAGGCCAGAGCTGAGAGGGCAACACGTGTCGGAGCTGCATCCTCCGTGGAGAGAGCAGAGGAACGCCGGTCACAGTGAAATCTGCTTGCCTCAACGTGGGTCCTGATGGGTACAGATCTCCCCCCAAAAGATGCAGGCATGGTCCTTGCTGCAGGGGCTGTAGCAACACTGCCTGCAGCTCAGGAAGT